CAAGACCCATTTTGTTATTTTTTGTTTTAGGTGCCATACCCGTATCTCTCTTTACCCGAAACCGACCCAAACCCATATCCTTTTTTTTTCCCAATTATCCTCTCCTCTTCCCGATGGAGATCCCTAATTTTGAAAATGATACAGACACTAACGCCGTCCACCAACCACCCCCCCACCCGTCGCCTACATCTGCCAATCCTCCGTCCAATATTGTCATCCACCAAGACAATACTTCCTTCCCTATCACGGTGGTCCTGGATGACACCAACTATCCCCTATGGTCACAACTCATGGAAATGCGCATCGGTGCTCGCAACAAAGTGGGTTTCTTGACCGGTGACACTCTCAAACCACCCGTCGCAGATCCCACCTATGGAGCCTGGCTCACTGAAAACCAGAGGGTGAAGAGCTGGCTCATTGAATCCATGTCCCCCTCGTTGATGCAACGATTTCTTCGCCTGGAGACTGCTCACGAAATTTGGGATGCTGCTCTTCGAACCTTCTATGATGGTTCGGATGAAACGTGCTTGTTTGATCTTAACCAGAGGTCTTTCAACACTAAACAAAATGGGCGGTCCTTGTCCATCTACTACAATGACTTGCTGTCAATTTTTCAAGAAATCGACCACCGTACGGCTACTCAGGCGGGCTCTGTGGCTGATGTTCTCCACCTGCATTCATCCATGGCCAGGCTTCGCGTCCATATATTTCTGAGTGGGTTGGATGCTGAGTTCGAATCTGTCCGTGGAGAAATCCTTCGCAAGGACCCCAAGTTGGATCTTGAACGAGCATACGCTTATGTTAGGCGTGAAGCTCAGCAACGTATCACCATGGGTCGACCCTCTGCGTCCTTGGATTCAGCTGCGTTGGTTGCCCACTCGCCGCGTCCTCCCTCTGGGTCAACATCCTCCAGACCTCGAAGAGACTTGTCCAGATCCAGCTCCCTTCAATGCTCTCATTGCGGTGACGTGGGGCACACAAAAATCAAATGCTACGAGATCATTGGTTACCCGGATTGGTGGGACTTTACCAAGCGTCCCCGTCAAAAGGTTCTCAACCGTACCTTGGGCACCACTGCAGCCGGTGACTCTTCTTCCCCCCTCTTGCTAATACTGTTTATGAAGGGATTCTAGGTAAGTCCTTTGCTTCCTCTACACTTTCTCAGAATTCAACTTGGATAATTGATACTGGTGCATCAGATCACATGGTTCGTAATCCCTCTTCCCTTACCTCTGTTTTTCCCTGTGACAAATCACATGTTTCAACCGCCAATGGTGGCACCTCTGTTATTACTGGTCAAGGCTCTATCCAATTATCCCCTATGTTAATCCTTGATCATGTTCTTATTGTACCTAATCTTGAATGCAACTTGCTTTCGGTTAGTAAATTAACCACTGCCTTGAATTGTCATGTAATTTTTTATCCTGATTACTGTCTCTTTCAGGGAAACCACTCCAAGGAGATTCTTGGTTATGGTGTTAGGCAAGGAAAACTTTATTTTCTGAATGTATCACACAATAATGGTGCTTCGGCTGTTCTTGCTGCTCATACCTCTACGCTGGACAAAGAAAAGCAAGCAATTTGGTTGTGGCACCGGCGCCTTGGACATCCTTCCTTCGGTTATCTTAAGCATTTGTTTCCTAGTTTATTTTCAAGTCTTTCCATTTCTGAGTTTAAATGCTCTGTTTGTGAATTGGCCAAGAGCCATAGAATTCCCTTTTCCCCAAGCATGAATAAAAGTTCTATCCCTTTTCAAGTTGTGCACTCTGATGTTTGGGGTCCTGCAAAAATTCCCTCATTTTCTAAATCTTATTACTATGTCTCTTTTATAGACGAATGTACACGTATGGTTTGGATCACCTTGCTTAAACAAAAAAATGAAGTTTTTTCTGCTTTCCAACACTTTCATGCTATGGTCCAAAACCAATTTTCATCTTCTATTCTTACTCTTCAATCTGACAATGGAACCGAATATGTTAATCGTGCTTTCACTACTTTCTTATTATCAAAAGGTATAAAGCACCAGACCTCCTGCCCCTACACACCCCAACAAAATGGTTTGGCCGAACGGAAAAATCGTCACTTGTTAGAGGTAGTTCGTGCCTCTCTATTTCAGATGAACGTCCCTACCCGTTATTGGGGCGAAGCCATCACTTCTGCTGCATACTTAATAAACCGAACACCATCCAGTGTCCTCAAATTTAAAACCCCTCTCCAAACTCTTGCCTCTTTTTTCCCTATCCCTCATTTGTCTAATATGGAACCTCGTATTTTTGGTTGTGTCACTTATGTTCATGTTCCACAACCCTTGCGTACCAAGCTAGACCCTTGTGCCCGTAAGTGTATCTTTGTTGGCTATTCCACCACTCAGAAAGGATATAGGTGCTTTGACCCAATTGCTCACAAAATGTTTGTCACAATGGAGGCCTCCTTCCACGAGTCAGAACCCTTTTATTCAGGGGGAGTACCTATTCCTTCTTCTCCGGGGGAGACATCTACACCTTTACTTGGAGAAGAAGACATATGGCTATCAACACAAGTTGCACCTTTGGCTCCAACCAACTCAACCATGAATGCAGTCCCTGAATCTGAGCAACAACATGCAGTTTTTGAATCTGAAAATACAGCAGAAAATACAGTCCTTGAATCTGAAGATGCAGCTGTCCAAGCCGAACATGAAGCACCCTCTCCAAGTGATACACCTTGCTTAACTCACATACCCGAAATCTCCCCTGTGGACTTCCCTGAAAGGCAACCAGAAGACAATTTCGAGGTACACACTAATCCCTCTAATTTATCTCCTCTTGACTCTACTTCACCTCTTATACCTCACATGCAAGTAAGGAGGTCTCTTAGATCCACCAAAGGAATACCAAAGCATCAGTATGAAGCTGACCCAAAAATAAAAACAAAATATCCAATTAGCAACTACATCTCCACTCATAATTTAGCCGAACCATGTATACTTGCTACTAATCAATTATCTAGTGTATGCATTCCAAATAGTGTGCAGGAAGCCTTGGATGATTCCAAGTGGAAAGAAGCCATAAATACAGAAATGGCTGCACTTCAGAATAATTCTACTTGGGAATTAACTTTGCTGCCCAAAGGGAAGAAGACAGTTGGCTGTAAATGGGTATTTAATGTGAAGCTGAAAGCTGATGGGAGCATCGACAGATATAAAGCTAGACTAGTAGCAAAGGGGTACACTCAAAAATATGGTGTGGACTACCAAGAAACTTTTGCTCCGGTGGCCAAACTAAACACAATTCGGATTCTGATCTCTCTGGCAGCAAATAGAGATTGGCCCCTGAAGCAATTTGATGTAAAAAATGCGTTTTTAAATGGAGACTTGGAGGAAGAGGTGTATATGGACATACCACCAGGAGTAAAGCTCTCATCTTCAAACACAAATAAAGTCTGCAAATTGAGGAAAGCACTGTACGGACTCAAGCAATCACCAAGAGCATGGTTTGGTAGACTGTCACTCGCAATGAAGAAGTTTGGATATACCCAAAGTAATGCAGATCATACACTATTCTTCAAGAAAAAAGAAGGGAAAATATCTATCCTTATAGTGTATGTTGATGATATGGTACTCACTGGAGATGATGAAGAAGAGATGAAATCCCTTGAACAAAAATTAGCTACTGAGTTTGAAATGAAGAAATTGGGACAACTGAAATACTTTTTGGGAATTGAAGTTGCTAGATCACAACTAGGAATTGTATTGTCTCAAAAAAAGTATATCTTAGATCTCTTGGCAGAAACAGGAATGTTAGCTTGTAAACCTGCAGACACACCCATGGAAATGAACCATAAGCTCGGCATATATCCAGGTCAGACTGAAGCTGACATAGGTTTGTATCAAAGATTGGTAGGAAGGCTAATTTATCTCTCCCACACAAGACCAGACATTGCATGTGCTGTCAGTGTAGTAAGTAGGTTCATGCATTCACCGAGCGAAGAACACTTGAAAGCAGTATTCCGTATTTTAAGGTATCTAAAAGGGTCTCCTGGTAAAGGTATTCTATTTGCCAAACATGAAAAAGAAATCATAGAAGGGTATACAGATTCAGATTGGGCTGGAGATAAAACAACCAGGCAATCCACCTCTGGCTATTTTACATTCGTAGAAGGAAACCTTGTTACTTGGAGAAGCAAGAAACAGAAAGTAGTGGCTAGATCAAGTGCTGAAGCCGAATTCAGAGGTATGGCCTATTGTACATGTGAATTATTATGGATCAAAACTATGCTAAGTGAGTTAGGATTCAAAAGTAACCAGCCCATGAACTTGTATTGTGACAATAAAGCAGCCATAGAAATTGCTCACAATCCCGTACAGCATGACAGAACAAAACATGTAGAGGTAGACAGACATTTCATCAAGGAGAAATTGGATCAACAAATAATCTGCACTCCGTATATTAAATCCGAAAATCAAATAGCAGATATGTTGACCAAAGCTGTATCCGGAAAAAGTTTGAAGGAAGTAACTAACAAGTTGGGCATGATAGATATCTATGCACCAACTTGAGGGGGAGTGTTAAAAATAGAATATGTTATAAATATTTGAATTACTGTTTGTATAAGATTAGATAGAATCCTCTGATTTGATTTAGTAGAAAGTTGTTGAAGATATTGTGGGTAGCTCCATATTTTTAGGATGTCATAGCTGTATAAATGTAACTCCAAATTGGAGAAGAAATTGTGAATGAATATACAAGTATTTCAGTATCTCACTATCTCTGACTCTTTGTGTATGTTAGTATTGATGTTTTGACAGTTACCAGGTATCATCTAGAACTAAATCATAGGACATATTCCTACATCATGTAGACAGGCAAAGATTACTGATAGTGATACACTGGCATACAAGACCTGGTTCTGTCACTTAGAAAAATGAGGTTACTTAATAATACCTTCGTAAACCGAGAAAACAATTTGCATTAGGGATAAGAAAAAAGGAGTTGGAGTAATGAGCTATTAATATGAAGGCTTTCTGCCAGATAGATAAGAATCTGCAAAGTTTATATAAATATACCAACCATTATACGATAGCATTAACATTTAAAATCACTGTAATGTATACAGATACCCCACTAAAAAAGTAAAACGACAGAGATCGGTCATCATTTCTCAAGCTCCAAACACTTCTTCGCCACACGCAGGTCCCATGATATTTGATATCTATAATATTATTACACCGCAATCAAGCATTTCATTCGAGGTCGACGCAAAAACTTGTACAGAAGCAATGAAATATGCACGATAACAAGACAAACAGAGAGAATTAGAGACCCTGCTCAACGAGATAATCACCAAGCCTTTCAACAACCATGTTGCATTGACCCGGAGTCATTGGTTCATCATAAATGCCAATGATCAAGGCCTGACTGGTCCTCTTAATAGTAACACCACCAGGACCCTGGACAATGGGGGGAAAGGCGGATATTATAACTATAATGGCCAAAATAAACATGAAAAAAATATCAGCACAAGATAATGTGCACGAAACACAATCAATACATGTTCATGTTCAACCACGGAATCCAAAATTTGAAAATACAGAATTATTAAGCTCACAATTGAAGGTAACTCTTTATGCCAGACAATCCCCATAACAGTATTTCATTGTAGAGAAGTAGCATACAATGATTTCTCAGCACACGGTTTTTTTTTCTCCTGATTTTTTTTTTTAATGACAAAAAGCACTTTTCAAAAAAAGTCTGTTTGGTTAAATCCTTTTAAGAAAAGCAGAAGTCATAAAAAAAGTCAAAACCCTGCTTTTTTTGGAAGTTAATTTTTTTATAAAAAATACTTCTAAAATAAGCAAGGCATAAAAAAGACTTTTTTGGGAAGGCAATCCAAACAAGCTCTAAGTACATCTGTGAATTTGCTCATAATTTGATTTACATACAATCCACAGAGACATGGACAACACGTAAGTTTTCCATCAGATGGATTCCAAATACGAGTGAAGGTTTAGAAAAGAGATATATTTTGCTTATAATATCATATGCAAGATATGGTTGCATAACTAAATTACAGCAGTACACCATAAGCAAGCTAACTCCATTCTTGTGTTACCCTCGACCAAAAATATGTAAACTATGATTAGATTGTCACGCTGACAATGAGAAGGTTGCAAGTCACTTGAACCGCATTATTTTAATACTAATAATATATAGTAAAAAAATATTGGACATCATGTATATCTTGAAAGAAACTGCATTATCACATATCCTAGATCATTATATAACATATGAATTTATGCAATAAAAATTCAAGCAAATATTATAAACAGTCCTTACCTTCTTCCCTCGAATAACAACTCCCGGCTCACCTTGGATCACCATATATTTTGTGCCACCGAGATATAATCCAGTTGGAGCAAGTGATCCAGGCTCAGCAAAGTCATTCATGATAGCAGTTATTTCCTCAGGCTTGAACTAAATAAACATCGTCACATTATATACAAGAATGGAACAACTAAAATGAAAACAGATCTGTAGACATCATAATTTATAAGAGCATCTGATATATGTAATGAAAAAAAAAAGACTGGACTTCTGCTTTTGTTGTTAATTTGTTAATTCTGTAAGTCATTTCGGATTGCAGTGAACTTTCTTTTGCTGATTTGATTTGGTATCGTCACAAACATGCCCCAAGTTTGTAACTTTTTTGCATGGTGATTCTTTTTCAATCTTCATAACAACATTAATAACTGTAAGCTTAATTTACAACAGCAATGAGCAGAAATGGGCACATCTAAGACCTTCATGAGGAAGATAACCAATCATCCCAAAATTCCCCAAAATAAATCAACTAATGAATCTCGAAACGAATCGATCCGAAGAAAAAAAGAGAGTAAAAGAAGTGAGATTGATTAAAAAGAAGTGGGCAATGGAACCTGAGGGAAATTGGAGCTCTGAGCCCAAACACTGCCGTCTTGGCCGAGGATAGCAGCAGAAGTGAGGTGATTACCTTCGATGTCGCACAGAAGGTGTTCATCGACATAGGTTTGCCACGACATGTTGAAGACGAAAGAGATTGAGCTTTGGAATTTTCTCGGGAAAATCTGAGAGCGTTTGGCTGCTGAGAAAATGGGTTGAGAGTAGCTCTCTTATTAGATGCGTTGATACTACGGAGCTATAAAGCGGTCTAATGATGGTGTCTTGTCCTATAATCATAATTACCAAGATACCCTTTTCCTTACCCTATTTTCGCTGTTTCGGGCTGGCACCTGGCTGATAGTGGAAAAGGAACAAATATATTATTATTGTTATTAGGAGAGATAAAATTCTCTCCATCAATCTAAAAATTTAAAATTATATCGCTTTGGATTAGGAGGGTTACAAAAAGATATTTTAATAAAATTTATATATTAAAAAATAAATCAGAACGATATAATTTCTTTAATTTTCAAAATGATATAATTTTAAGAACCTGTCTCTGTTTGATTATTGTTTTTAAAAATAATTTTTTAGTTTTCAGAACAAAAAATTAAAAAACTCGCTTTGTAGCACATGTTTTGTAAAAATTGTTTTGAAAATTATAACTGTTTTTTTGTTTTTAGAATCAAATTTAAAGAACGTGTCTTAGTTATTTTTGTTTTCTGTTTTAGTTTTTAACTTTCAAAAAAAAATATAGAAAAAATTGTTTCTATAACTATTTTTCAAAATAGTTTTAAGAACAAAAAAATCAAAAACACAATGAAACAGGCCTAATTATTATCTTAGAAATAAATATCGGATACAGTTTCAAAAAAAGAAAAGAAAAAGTTGTCCTTTTCTTTTCTTAGTGCCTGTTTGGATCCTCTCTTTTTAAGCTAGAAGCTACTTATAAGTATAAGCTAAGCCAAACATGTTTTGAAAAAAACTCTTACAATGAAAAACTCTTTTTTTATAATGAAGAAAAAAACTGAAAATTAGAAGCTCCTAGGAGGAGTTTTTTTTAAGCTCTTATCTGTTTTTCTTAAATTGTGTGTGTTTTTTTTTTTTTAAGTAAAGAGTTATAAAGATAGAGAAAGATAAATTTATTGAAATATGTGCTTTTAATTAACTTTTAAGCTAAAAATTTTATGTGATTACCAAACAGCTTTTAGCTTCTTTTGTTAAGCTCTCTTTTTTAGCTTTAACTTATAAGTAACTTCTAGCTTAAGAAGAAGAGGATCCAAACAGGCACGTAAAGGTTCACGTCTCTTCGATTCTTTCACTTTTTTTTTCTTCTCTTTTTCATTCCTTTCCTTTTCAAATAACAGCATTCAGATATAATTATCCCTGTGATTATCGGGTATGCCACAACCAAAGTAATTAAGGTTATTGACTCGTAATATGTACGGTGTATTGTTGGCTAATTTTTTGTATCATCAATAATGAATCATATTGAATTATAAGATATAAAAATATAATAAAAATAATTTAAGAATACTGAATATCATATAAATTCAAATTCTACAAAAAAATCCAATCAGTAAAATATATAAGTAACTAAAATGTAAATCAATTATTCTTTTATTCATCAATCGTCAAAACACTACTATCACTGTCAGCACTATCAGTGACATAATTATCCATCATCATCATTAGTGTAGTCATTTGACCTCATCTCCTATTTCTTGTTCAATAATTTAGATCATTTTTTCTTATCATTCTTGTTGGCAATATCATTTCATTTATTAAGCCAACTGTTATTATCTTGCTATTGTATAATGACCCATTTACTTTTATCATTCCTATCAGTTTTAAGATTTTGAGGACCTAAAACATAAGAAAATACATAACAAAATTACATTTATTTAATTATTCCCTTTATTAATTAGATTTTTCAGATTGATTTTTAAATTTAAAATACAAATCAAATTTTTATTTTATTTTCTTTATTAATAATAATTTGTGTAGTTTTTTTAATTTAAATCACAAATAAAAATTTTATCGCTTTTTTTATATTAAAAAATATAAATTTTGATTTATTTGTGTATCGTATGATATATGATTCAATATCGTATGATACACGATTCAGTATCGTATCATTCCATACAATTTCGTTTTTGATACACCCTACGGTACACATCACTAATCCAATAAATTGTATCGTGTATCATACGATACTGATAAATATATTATAAGTAGACAAAAAACATAAAAACAAATAAATTTCAAACAGATTCACATGAATTTATAATTTTAACAAAGGGATTTTCGTTTGTCCTTTAACATGACATGGTAAAGTTTTCTACACACACAATAATTTTGTGAAGCCCGCGTTTTTTGAAGCAAAAAAAAAAAAACTAAGGCACAGAAAACGAATCTCAGTAACATGACACATTTACTTTTTCTACAACATAACTCTTATAAAACACTTTAACAAATGATTAACTAAATTATTTTAAGAATGAATTATTTCAAAAATCATAAATATATTTTTTATGTGTAATTATCATTATGTAAAAATATACAGGAAAATTTACCAAAAATAAAAAAAGAGAGTGAAGGGGGAATGTTCACAAAAGGATCACTTTTTTGTAGTATTATTAAAGTTGGCCTGACCCACTTAGTTGTTGAACCGAGAATCAGATCGCTAACCAGTTTGATTCAGTCAATTAACCAGTCATGCATATAATCAGATCAATAATCGGTAAATGGGTAAAAAATCGGGTTCAACCAGTGGTAACCTAATACTTATTTATTGGTTGAACCAGTTTTTGAAATTGTAACAAAATATTTTACCATAAATGCACTCCTCGTATTCAAACTTGCACCTATGGGAAGGGAATGACAGGTTATCCATTAAACCAATTTTGTTTATTGTCATATTAATTCTATTTATATTTTTTTTATAAATTTAATTTATGCGGTCCAACCAATAAATTAATGATTAAACTAATAAGCTATCCTGTATCCCGACCGGGTGAACCACCCATTCAGATTTATTAACATTACTTTTTTGTGTAAGGATGTCCACGAGCCACTTAGCTTTACAGAAATTATAGCAAAAAGTTACATTGCATACCATATAAAATTGGGTTGAGATTAAAATTTTAAATTCTTATCCACTGGGGTTAGTCTAGTGGTGTGGGATGTGTGTGTTAGGTATGTGTAATGTAGTGGTATGTGTTCAATTTCCATGTAATACAAAAAAAAAAATTAAATTCATTTCAAAGTTAGTACTAAGAAAAATCAAATATATGCTCTTAACCTACTTGTTTAATTTCTTCACGCCAACTGAATTATTTTTATTTATTTCAAAGTATTCTCTCTTATTCCACCAAAGCATTCTCACTTAACTCTTATTGTATCAATCGCATAAATAATACTCCCAAAAAGAAAACATATTCAAAGGCTAGCTCCATAACCATGGTACTATATAGTACTAATACCAGCAATTCAGCATCTCAGCGAAGAAGAGAAAAAATAAAATAAAATAGTACACATTTAAACCGAGATCGATCCTCATATATATAACAGATAGGGTGTGCAGTTGTCATTCATTTTCTTTTTATGTTTTTTTTCTCTCCTGCATTTTATCTTTTATATGTGTTTTTTTTTTAATAAGTTATCAAATGATGTTTAATATTTTATTAATTTTTAGATAATAATTATTTTAAAAATAAATTTTTCTAGAATGATTTTAATTATTTTTTAAAAAACGTAAAATAAACAAATCTAAACGCACAATAACGTGTTTTTGAAAATAATTTATTTTCAAATTATTAACAGAATTTTAAAAAAAAAACTACAAGTGATTATTTTAACTGTATAACAATTTCTGAAGTTTTCCTCCAAAAAGTTGATTACATTTTTTTATATTAAAATAAATTAATTTCAAATATATATTATTATTTTTTATAATTAATTATTTACCAAGCAAATGATAAGTTAATTTAAGAAATTTAGTCACACAAAAATACACTAATCCCAATGTCTAGAGAGTTACACGCAAGCCGAGCCGAGCTTTGGTCTTAAAAGGTTAAACCTGTGTTTAAATGTATCAGTCTGACCAAGCTTGTTATCTATTATAAATATAATTATCAGCTTGTGGCCTGATTTATTTACAAAAAATAAAAGTCTGATTTAGCCTGTTTAAAATAAATAAGACAAAAAAAATTATCTAAACAAAATATACAATCAATAACACTAGTAATTCCATAAATATTCATAAATTCAATGTATATCCAAACAGCATAATATAAAACAAAATCATTCAAAAAGTCTGTTTTTCCAATAAAATGAGTGAAATTGATTGAGGAGAAAAAGAGAGTTATTATAAGTAGTATAAAAATATAAAAAAATAAATAATATACTAGGCAAGGCTGAGAGGCTCCAAGGCTGAGCTTTTGAATTGGAGCCTGAGACCTTTTTCATTAAACGAGCTCAAGTCTGGTGCCAACAATCAATTTTAAACATATAAATTCATGTCTTCATGAGCCAAGCAAAGGCCCCTAATTCGTTTAGCACCCCTAGTTACACATCCACTTTTATATTCATTTCAAAATCTAACTAATATTGATATTTACCTAAAAGAGTTAATTTTGATTGTAAAACCTTTAATCAGCACTCAAGTATGTACTATTAAAAAATTTCTTAAAATTGATAGTGAACCAATTTTAAATCACATTATAATATAGTACAAAAATTTTGGTACATGTATAGTTGTTCTATCTTGAGGACAGATATGTGTATTTAAGAATTAGTAAATTTATCTTGAATTTAAGTGCTCTTTCAGATATCTATGGATTAGATAACTTTGAGTATAACATATCAATATGCACAAATAATAACGACATTTGCAAAATGGATGGTGTGTGTGCACACTAAAGAAAGAGTCAATGTCATTTCTGTAGGGTTTATCTCTTATTTATAAAATTTACTTCTGGATATTGAAATTCTGAATCTTTTGTGTCTCTTCTAAAAGCTCAAACCGAAATTTATTGATGTCGTATTAGAATTAGTATCTTGAATTGATATTTTTCTTTGATTATATTAGATTCTTCTTTTGATTACTTATTACTGAGCTTCCTATTACGCGAGCCTCATATATGAGTAAACTATTATTGTTGGACATATAATGAAATAATTTAACCACTAAGGATTATATTATTATAACTATTATTATTAAAGAAGCGTTAGGTGTAAAACTTTTAATTGAATTTAATTGATGAATAATTAAAAAAAATTAATTTAAAAACAAAGACAAACTCTCTTCTTCTTTTGGAAAATACAGGGAAAAAAAAAAAAAAGCCTGCACAATCTAGCCAAATCAACTCCTGTGAGGTCATGATGAAACCGCTAAAAGACACTGGATGTTGCTCTGTACACCCACCGAGGATGATATCTCGTAATAGTTCCATTTTAAGTTAGTATGAGAAAAGAACCCCACAATTAATTTCAAACATTTTTTTTTTTTTACAAATTTTTTCTTTAACATTTTTATAAAATGCAATTTAAAAATTAAAATAGTGAAGTCAAACACGGTATCAAGTGGCCAGATCTGTTGCCCAAATGCAATAGTCCGCACTAAATTTTGCACAATAAATACGTAAGCCAGCACCTAAGTTAGTGTTATTCCTTTTGGAGCTACGAACATTTCTCATGTCAATTCTTAAATACATCAAAATTAGTCACATAAAATTGACAAATTCAGGTGAATAATCGTTTTTGTTTTAATTTTTTTAACGAATGATGCACGGAGGGAGAGAAAATTTTCGTTTTGTATTGTGTGAAACAGGTGCTGATTCTCTCTATCATCTTGCCTCAATTCATATAACCCTAATGAATCGATCACGAAATAATTAGAAAATGGTTTGTTTTCAAGCCATTCAACAAAATATATTTTAAAGGAAGAGGCTCAAATCAAGAGCAACATAAAAGGGCAGACGGATGAATCATTAATTCGTTGAATCACTCATTTTCTCATCCCGTTGAGAACAATTACCTCCTACAAGAACTGGTTGGTTTTGAACATCAATTTTTAAGTTCTCAAGGACAAGGTATTTGTTAGTTCTGAACGCACTTATAAACATATCGCTTCATATCTATAATTTTTTTTTTTTACAATTTAATTAAAACTAGCTAGTCTCTTAGATTTTGCACACTAGAATTCTAATTGTCACCTATTATGAATGTGGTCCTAAAAGATGTGCAAACAAGCATTTTCTTTTCTTTTCTTGTCTTTTTTTAATTAATATTCTTTCCCGTTTGTGGTATGTGCTTATTGACCATCAACTTAAGCATTACGAAAGAGCAAAGGTGCTGAGAACTGAGTGGGAGTTTAGAGGGTACATTAGAGAGAAATGCAATGAACGGGAAACATCATCAGGGTAAATTAAACATCCAAACAACAGACAAAGGTTTAATTCTGACATAGTTATTGTCTGCAACAACTCCCAATTCGGGGTTGAAAATGAAATATACTTGATACAGACCAAAAATTATGAAAATAACAAAGTATAGTACCCAAGAAACAAATGTTCAAATCATGATAAGTACTCTAGGTCTACAGACCCTGATCGATGAGGTAATCTCCCAACCTCTCAACAACCATGTTGCATTGTCCAGGAGTCACAGGTTCCTCATAGACGCCAAACACTAGAGCTTGACCAGTTTTCTTTATGGTGATACCTCCAGATCCCTACCCAAATTAACAAGCACAAAAGTCAGTTCCCTTAAAAAAAAAAAAGCCAAATCAAAGCATAGGAAATATAATGCTACTCAACAAGATCAGGTGCAAATTAGCTAGTATTCCTTTTCATATCATTGAAAAAAAGAGAGAGGAGAAAAGCATGATATTGAAAGAGAAATGATCCATAATTTCAATTGTCTATGTAAATAAGTAACAACAGAAACTGCATTGTATTAACATAGATAAATACATTTACCGTACTCATGACCCAAAACCATTCTCGGAGCCTTAAGAAGCACAAATATTAATTTTATGCACATGGAAGTTCAACCACTATAAAACGTTTATAAAATTCCACAAGATGCTATATAAATACTATAATCAATTTGTGTAAGATGATGAGTAGTTTTGGCATGACATATTACCTTCTTCCCGCGGATGACTGCTCCTGACTCTCCCTGAATCACCATGTACTTTGTTCCCCCAAGGTGCAAGCCTGTAGGAGCAAGATGACCGGGTTCGTCGAAATCTTTCATGATATCAGTGATCTCCTGAGGCTTAAACTGTAGAGAAAGTATAAAATGAATCGGAACATTATCACATGATAAAATTAAAAGAAATGCTAACAGCACACTATTTGTCTTTGACATACTCTTTTTAACACATTTTCTATCATTAGATGAACTTGGGACTGGATCCTCTCATGTGAAAAAGTGATCTCGTGGTCATATTATTTGATCATAATCAATCATTGATAATGAGATAATAACATGATCACATGAGAGGATCCACTCTCGATGAACTTCATGTGAATCTCACTAAATAACTTGGACTCATTTGCATAAAATTTAATTAATGCCTAACTCTAATCTTATAATAAAAATTGCATTGACGAATGTTTTTCACACTATGACTCACAAGAAACTGGATTACATATTCAAAATAAAAATAAAAAAATAGATATTCAAATTTTTTTTGGAAATCAAAGAGAATAAATGATTGGTAGATCCATGCATGGAGATCAGGTGAAAGAATGAAAAGTTAAGGTACCTGAGGGAAGGAAGAGCTCTGAGCCCAGACAGAGCCATCGTGGCCGATGATGGCAGAGGCGGTGAGGTGGTGACCTGTGCCATCGATATCGCACATCAAATGTTCATCGACGTAAGTTTGCCACGACATTTTCTTAGTTTCTTTGTTTGTTCTTGTGATGCTTGTGTTTGTGCTTGTGTTTGTGTTATGTTTGTTTTGGTCAGCTTCAATTTTAGTTTTAAATAAGGATTGGATTATGGGTGAGGGATGATGCCCGCTCCACCGTCCCTTTACCTCCATCCAATTGCTGCCACCCATTCAACTTCACCTTCATTTTAGGACTCACCTCTCTCTCTCTATTTTCCTATTCCTATTCCTTTCTGTCCCGAAATAGATTAGAGATGGTTAGTTCATCAACAGAATTGCTTCTTCTTCTTCTTCTGTTTTTTTAATTACATTATTGTTATATCTGATAAAATAATATATATTTGAAGTTATGTAGAGTAATTATATTAAATAATTTTTAAAATAATTTAATGAATAAAAGAAAAAAAAATCTACAAAATAGAGACTCGGTTTGATTTCTATTTTGGAAAACAGTTTTTTAGTTTTTAGAACAAAAAAACTCGTTTGGCACCCCTGTTTTGTAAAAAATATTTTGAAAACTATAACTGTTTTTTTGTTTTTAAAATCAAATTTAGAAAACATGTCTGAGTTGTTTTTGTTTTCTGTTTTTGTTTTTAATTTTCAAAAAAAAATAATATAGAAAACAACTGTTTCCATAACTGTTTTACAAAATAGTTTTAAGAACAAAAAAATCAGAACACAATCAAACAGACATGTTTCCTTGTCGAAAAAATATAGATACAATGTATTGCTTTTGAGTCTTGAGGCTTTTCTTTTTTTAGAATGGACTTTCCTTGCAGGCTTGAGATGTAACATCTTTATTCTCTAGAAAATATAAAGTATTCTTTTATTTGTTTATGTTATGCTAAAATTCTTCATATGTACACACTTCTACTGAAATTACATAATGTTTTTTTGCAATGGTGGAAAATATTTATCATACGTAAAGTGTATATATGTCAGAAAATTTCTTAAATATAGTATCAAGTATTTTGTGCATTGTATTGTTTTGATATTTTTATAACTTTAAATTTTTTATATACAAGAAGGGACCTTAACACACACACACACAAAAATGAATCAGACCCCAAAGGGCGAATCGAGATATTAAGCAAATTCTACCCTGAAACAAGATAAGTAACTTTTGTAAAAAAATAACCGCATAATCAGTATGCTCTTACAATAAAACGGGGATTTGACATATAAATAGTCAAAAATGGATCGAACGTGCAAAGATACTCATGGACATGGTTTAAAAAGGAAGGAAAAAAAAGAATTCATGCAAATTATTTTTGCCCAGCTTCACAGCCCATGTCAGGGTTATATACTTCACCTTACCCCCTAAAAATTTTACAAATCTAAGGACTAAGGTCACCACGATAATAGTTTACAAACCAAATGGAATAAGATAGTTGCCACTAAATCAGCATTAATCATGCTGCGGAAAGATATATTCTAATTGACTCGATCATGTGCTAAGACTCAATCTATGTATTTTATATTAAATTGTGTATTGCATGAGTTATTTAAAACATATATTTAGGATTATAAATTTTTTTATTTAATAAATAAATATTTTGTGCATATTTATATAAAATTATTTCATTTTAAGGAAATTTTATAATCAAAATATTTTAAAGATAATACCTAGTTAAAAGTATTAAGTATACTTCTCATAAAGTAAAATTGATAGATTCATATTTGAAATTTGATAATTATATAATTTGATTTTGTTTGATTTATTTGTAATAATATTTACATACGTTTTTTAATTTTATATACATCATTTCAATGAAAAAATACTATTTATTCATTATGGCATATTAATTAAGTTCTTTTAGGATATTAAACTTCATCTTAATTATATTTTTATAGCTTTTTCTTAAAGACACTGCACACTAACCAAATCTCTATATCTCAATTTTATAAAAATATTGATACATCTCCTGATCATATTATTATTATAATAAAAAATTTTAAATATATCATAAATAATATATATATATATATTAAATAAAATTATAATAGTATTTATTTTTTTATTTTTTTATTTTTAGGTTTAAAAGATGATCCACCACATATATTTGCCGTGGGAAAGCCCATGTAACACGCGGGGAGAGGAAAATGTGATAGGGAAAGGATAATACATGGTTGTGTTTAAATTACACACTCTCTTAGTCATTACATTTTCACAACTCTATCAATAAATTTGCGTCATAAAAAATTATTTAAATATTATTTTCATCAGAACTTACAAGATTAATATTCAAAGAAAATAAATTTATAAATACGTAACAGAATAACACTTGTAAGATATTTTAATAATGCTTATGTTTATAATAAAATATGTATTTATTTACCAAAAAAAAATATGTATTTTCAATTTATTGGAATTATACCTTGATTTCTCTCTTAAAAAAATAAAAAAATACAAATTTAACATAGATTAAAAGTAAAAAAATATAAATGAAAAGTCAAAAATTTGAAATAATCATATGATAAAAAATTAAATATAAAAATTATCATATAACAAATCTATGAGTAAATAGATTATAGATCTAGTATAACATTCACATGAAAGACAAATTGTCAGTTGATTCCAGCAAAAAAAAAAAAATTTAAAATTACAGGCCATTGAGTTAATTTGCATTTTGTCATATTTAATATATAAGATTATTCTATTCAGGGAGATCCCCGTTTAATTATCTCATTCCTAAATACAAAAAGCGATCTACATTAACGTTTATTAAAAGAAAAGGTAGAGATCCATGACAGATAGATTGCAAAATAAAGTGAAATATAAAGGTAACATCCAGCAGTAGCTAGCTTAGCTGTTCCAGGGCCTGATTGATTTTAGTTCGAAAGAGACAAGCCCACTCCTCCACGTGCCGCGTGAGTCACGAGTTACGATTATGGGGGAAAATTTTAATATACCGAATTCGATATTCTTTTTTATTAAATATGAATTTTTTTAAAAATTTAAAGAAAAAAAAATATGGTTGAAAGAAAAAAAAATTCCAAGGAATACCAAATTAGATGCTTTTAGTGCATTGAAGTTTTTGTTACAGTCATATGTGTTTTCCAATCATAATCTGTTCTGCCATCATATAAAACTTATTTTAAAAAATAATTAATGAACCACAAATTTTTTGCATTTAAACTGTATTTTACATAATAGGATAATCTAGAATTGTATATTTTTCCTAAATATCGATTTGATTCAACTCCATTTGATCGTTAGTTAAAATCGTGAGCGACTCGGAGTTGAATCCAGAAAAATGATCCAATTAGAAATATTTTGCAGGAGGCCCGATTCATAACCATTATAATCACAAAGAAAGAGACTCGAAATATTTTGTGACCCAAATCTCATGAAAAAAAAGTAGCCTCTCAGAACAAGCAATCCATAACATAATCACTGCAAAAGTAAAAATACAATCTTCCCAACCAAACAATATGGACGGAGTCTTCAATGGCCTTCCAGACCCACGGCCAGGAGGACATCCCAGAGCTCAAGAAAAGATTCTTATCTGATTAAGAGATAAGACCAGGGAATTCAATTGTTCAAGGAGATTGCAACACTGCACTCCGTTGGTTATTCGTCATAAATACATTGTCATGAGTCGTGACTCATGAGTATCAAAGAAGGAAAACCAAACACTACCGGTTCCATCAGTGGATGCAATGACAACCAAGGAAGCACAAGACACTTGTAAAAACAGGAAGAGTCGGGTCCGACACGCTCCGATACGGCGACACGCTCCGACACGGTGTCGGACACGCGGTTGACTTTTTCCGACACGTTGACCATTCCGACACGCGAATTTGACCGTGTCGGTCAAATGGCATTTTCGTAATTTTTTTTAAATTTTTTTTTAAATTTTTTTTAAATTTTTTTTATTTTTTTAAAAACTAAAATATATTAATAAAGCTTACACCTGATCATATCAATTTTATCTTTTTGTCTTTTTTTCCCTTAAGTAGATAAGAGATCATCTCAGCATCATTGTTGTCAATTCCTATCACGCTCTTGTTGTATCTTCTTCTCTCTGATCTCTCTGTAATATGATTTGATCTCTCTATCTGATATTATATCTCTCTCTCATCTCAGTTCTTATTTTTTTTATTAAAGCTTCCATCTTTATAACGTGTTGATAGGTATTATTAATTTAGTTTCATTTTTTGTTAAATTATTAAATATTAAATGAAATATACACTATATAAATTAAAAATATTATTTAATATTAAAACGTGTCTCAACGTGTCGAAATCCATAATTTTTTATGATTGACGTGTCGGAATGTCGTGTCGTGTCGTGTCACGTGTCGTATCGGTGCTACATAGATGACAACCATCGTCATTATATTCACTATAAAGACACGAACTAATCTTCTTAAACATAACAAAATTTATATTTAGTTGTATTTAAATTTTTTGTATGAAAGTTCTATTTAAATTTTCATAATAAAAGAAGGTTCGAGTAACAAATACAAAATGCGAGAGAAACCCAATCAAAATTATATTAGTATGTGCCATGTGATGTCCGATATTTTCTTGCACAAGGAGGGCATGGATTTTCAGAAGGAGTATTATAGTTGGAGATGCAAATTCACGGGGCCTAGCTTTCAAACTGAATATCAAAGAGGTAATATCTTGAAAGTAAGGACAGAAGTGATATGAATTCAAGATGAACATTTGACAATTAACTCACCTCATAAACTTTTTCTCTTTCTTACAAGTAAAAGCTCCGAAGAGAATTCATTTTAAACTATAAGGCTGTCCTCAAAAGAAAGTTTGCTTTTCAATGAACTATCAAGGTTCATACATTGCTCCCATTCAAATTATCAACGGATGCTTAACTCCATTTGTCAGTGGTGGCAAGTCACCAATCAAATAAGGGAAGTTGAAACAAGTGGTCAGGAAATTCCACTCCATTTAATTTGTTGCATCTATCCGCTAAGTCGATAGGACCTTCCCCTGAAAGCAACCCCTGAACCTGAACTCTCTTGCTGAGCGTTATTATTAATAGGCTGGCCACGGCTAATTGGTGGCGCTCCAATTCTCCACCTTGCAACCAATTTATGTCTGGAAAATAACAGTTAAGAACACAACAGAACTAGCTTCCAACTTTTGGTCAATTCCCAGGTTATTGGGAGTTATAAAGAACACATTGTTATTTAACCATATTAGCTGTAGGCCCAGCCCCTACATGTGCTACATGAGGAACAACTGATGGTATGTTTTGAAGAGTTTGGGTTACATTTTTTTTTTTTTTTTTTTTGGGAAGGGGGGGTAAGGCTATGATGGGTATAAATAAAGCTTCATATCAGGACAAAATTACATACTTTAATTTAAATGGCAACAGCATATACTTAATACCTTAAGCAAAAGAATACAAGAAGGATACACCCACATTGGAGTCTTCAAAATGTTTTTTCCACCTGCCAGTGGATGCAACACTGTCAAGAAGTAGTAAAGATGTCCTGCAATGATACCTAACAGATCGGGCGTAAGAGGTGAACCAAAAATGACATCCAAAGCAAGCATCGCCCATGGAAGATAGAAGGCCTGAAAAATAATTTAACGAAAGATATACTTCATACAGCTCATAGATTCTCATGCAACATGAGAAAATCAAAGCCCTATAAGCAATGCATAAAAACGATAACTTAAACAAGATAGAAATATACCTTAAGTGCAACAAGTCCATATAAGTTGATTTGGGCAGTTGGAAATTCTCTACTCCAAACATAAAGGAGCATAAAAACAAGTGATATTGCCAAAAATGGGGACCACAAAATAGGGATAGCAGACAAAACCTAGAATCCAGGAGATAAGATTGCAAAGAAAGGAAATGATATTAGGACACCGTGTAAAAAATGACAACATAGAGAAAGCAACTAAGAATGGGGAATGGAGTTTGTGCCATTTTAACAACAGTAAAACACATCATCTTATAATCAGGACTTTGTTTCACCAAAATTAACTTAACAAAAATATTTTCAGAAGAATCAGAACTTCCCTAATGCTTTTCTCCACTCAACCAAGTTGTTTTGTACAGCACATTCAAGCCTTCATAGACACTTCCCATCCTACCTAACCAGAATTTATCTTCCTTAGTCTCCCTATAGATCTCGAACCATCAATCACCTCTTGTCAGATTGTCAACTGCTAACCATCTTTCACTTACCACTGACCATTTATGACAAACAATCACAGTCATCACTCACTTGTTGAAGCCTCATCATGCATAGTTTATTTTATCATCCTCATATCCATCATCATCTATCAACTTCTATGGTGGATGTCATAAACCTTTGCTCTGAAATCTTTCCTACTAACTTTGCATTAGAACATAATTTTATCACTAAAAATTTTCTATGATTATAGGCTAATATTCTTCAAGACACATGGAACATTACTTTTACAGGCAGCATGGATAAAAGAGAAAGACAGATAAAAATGACAAAAATAAATCAAGCATAGTTAGTCATCTTTTTTATCAAAAAAATAAAAAGGTTTGTCATATTCTTGTCCAGTTCCATAAACTGAAGCTACTAGAATAGGTTTAACAAAATGAATCCTCCACCATTTTGAAGGAAAAATATCACATAAATAACATAAGATGTAAAAGATACGTAGATGATCTCACATACCAATAGTGCAAAGGCTCCAAATATCATCATCCACAAGAAATCAGCAGTCCGCCTGTCAAACGGTCCCTTCTCAAGTTGGACACCATACCTTGCTCTGTAGATTAAGGGAATTAACTCATATTGTGTAAAAGATACCTTATTTTAGCTTTATAAAACCTTCTTGTTTAATATACTAGAAAGAAAGTGGAAACCATTGTCAGGAACATGATCTTCGAATTACTTACATCATTAAGAGACGAATGCCAAAATTGATAGAGAATGGTCCAAGGAAAAAAAAGTTTGTGAACAGCCTCCAAACCTACAGATGATATGATGTTACAGGAGATTTACTAAAGTTTGACTGGAAACGGAAACACTAAAATTATTCAACAAGGTCGTCAACAGCAAGTTAAAATTAAGGAAAATCAGGTTGCTTATAAACTTCAGTAGTAAAACTCCAATTGACTACTTATTGACCAAACTGTCTGCCCAGACAATTGATGCTAATACATTTTTTATGTCCAAATCAGCAGCCTGTGGGTTGCCAAAGGATCAAACTCATGCTACCCAATGCAACAGTGCCCTGCATCCCCAATTACTCGCCTATTCTTTCACATGTATCAGAAGATAAATAATGTAGCCATGAGGAGCTGGGGAATGCTATTGATTGGATAGAAATTTTCTACAACAGACTACGAAGAAGAAGAGAACATCTATATAGACCCCAAACAATTATGAGATGCACATCAAGCACTTGTAAATAACATAAAATAGATGGGTGAGTTCAGAAGCACTCGTATATGCGGAAAATGATACGGATATTCAAACAATCAAGAAAATATAGAATATTCTTGTAAGAGATTGGCTGCAAATATGGCTAAATTACAAAAAGTTGGGCGGTAAAACCAAGTAAGCCTCTGATATTTCTTTTAATTCGGGAGATAATAAAAACAGAAGAGATCCTCAATCTGTCCTATACATAAAAATTCTCCACATCAAAGGCAAGCAGAATGGGATTCAAAAGGGAAGCTTTAGAATGAAAGCAATAAATTGCAAAAGCATCAAACAGCATATTACTCTTTCTGTCATACTGATACCAAATACCAATGATCTTATGGAATTCTGACCTGAAAACGATAGAACACTTGTTCATATAATAGTGCAATTTGAACCGGATGATATATTCCAAGCTGATAAATTGCGGTAGCCAACAGACAAACCGTGCCATAAGCCTTGCTTATAGGTGGAAGAGACTTATACCACCTGAAAGCAGGCAAATTTTGAAGCATGCAATTTAATTAACTAAACAAAGTGATTGAAACAATTATAAAACTTGCCAAGAAAAAATTGCATATACATAATATAATCATCCAAGTGGATTAATGAATGGAAACTAGTAGTAGCAAGATTACTTCTGCTACTAGTAAAGCTGGAAAGCACGCAAAGAAGGTTTTGAATAAGAGAAAACACTCATACACAAAAACTCCCATCAACATAAAAATGATAGCATAAGGACAAACACAAAATGAGCTAGAATGCGACGAGAAAAACGTAACTCCAAATTCGATTACTCAAATTATTGATATAATACTAAGACCCCAAAGATTCATTAACATTATACTTAAAAAAAAGAAAGAAAGAACGATTAAGAGAATTACTCGGCGGGAGAAGACATTGCGAAATTAGCAAGATAACTGAAACCAAAACCTAATTCTAGTTCAGAATTCAGATCTCCCTTCTGAAACAGCGTTGAACAGACCCCAGAAGCTTCTGTTCCGTTCCGTGCATCCTCCTCTCACGTGCCGCCGAAGCCCGTACATGGCCCAGTTTTACATGGGCTGGCTATTTTCAAACTTTCGTTCAATTCTTTTGGCAGGTTTGGGCCATTCTCGGTCTGAAATCTGAATCACATCACTTCTTTTGAGTGCTTGTTTTAGAATTCTTGGACAATTCATTTTTTCTTTTTTTTCGCCAAAAAGTGATAGCGAGGATACCCCACCAAAGACAGGTAGAGAATTAAAAGTTGCTGTCACGTGGGAACTATTCACCTATAAAGTTAGACACCAAAAACTCTACTCCCAGACTAGGAACAGGAGTGATCACAAAAGCAGGACAACCGACCAATTGAGATTCAAACCATTCACTTGGGGTATTGGATACCATTTATGCAACTCGATTTAATTACTTAAGTTGGCCTTAAAATTGTGCTTACAGAACTATATTGTCAATTTCGGATATAATATGCATAAAAGCCTCTCTTTTTTTAATTAGGATCTTATATTCAGTACCAAAAAAACTCGTTCACTTGCTCTACCTTTGATTTGCCCTTAACTTGACTCATAAATAGCTTTTTTTTTTTTGAACTGGATTTAAATACTGATCCCCTTTTATTTAACTGACTTGTTTTAATAATGATTCATTGACCCAAAATTTGACCCACATCCATTATGTGAAAATAAAAAATCACAATTACGTTAAAAGAAAAGTTTTAACGTAAAACAATTACGTCAAATTTTTTTACGGAAAATATTTTCAACAAAAATTCTCGCAAAAAATATTTTCACCAAAATTTGTGATTAAAAATATTTATGTAAAAAAATTTGACGGAAAATTTTTTTTCATATTTTTTTACGGAATCTAAATTTCGTCAAATTATTTCACAAAAAAATATATTCATCAAAATTTTCAACGAAACACATTTCCATCAAAAAATTTTGACGGAAAAAAATTTCATCAAAATTCTTTACAGAATTCAAATTTTGGCGAAAGTTTTCGACGGAAACATTTTCGTTAAACATTTTGACAAAAAAAAAAATTCGTTGAAATTTCTAGCGAAACACATTTCCATCGAAAATTTCCGACTAAATATTTTCGTCAAGTTTTTTAATAAAAAATATTTCCATCAAAATTTTCATCGAAACACATTTCTGTCAAAAAAATTTGACAAAAAATATTTCGATAAAAACATTTGACGGAAAAAATATTCTGCCGAAATTTTCGTCAGAACACATTCCCATTGAAATTTTGAACGAAAAACAATTCGTCAAAAATTATGATGAAATTCTTTTTTCGTTTAAAACATTTGATGGAAGAAATCATTTTCGTCAAAACTTTTAACGGAAACTAAATTTCGATCGAAAATTTACTTTTGTAAAATATTTCTTTAGAGAAAAATTTTTGTAGCTTTTCGACAAAAAGTATTCCGACAAAAAAATTGTGTGACAAAATTTTCGTCATTTGCAACGTAGAAATTTCATTGAAATCAGAAACCAAGTCAGACCCACTTCAGAAACCAAGTCAGGTCAGATCTGACCCGGTTCTGAATTAGTTCAAAAAAATCCAAACCAATGTTATTAAAATCGGCCCGGTCATTGACCCGGTCGAGGTACCGGGTCACTGGATCACTGGTTCAACCGCATGACCCGGTAATTATATGTAATTTTATAATTTATATTAAAAAATTATAAACATACTCAAATATCTAAAAAAAAATTAATAAATATTTCAAATATTTTAATACAAAAAATAATAAATCACATATTTTTATGAAATAAAAAATCAAACAAAAATATAATGATCGTGATACAAGGCTTTAGGTTCATAAAACGACATCTCTAACTATAAATTAATTCAAATTTTTATGCATAGTACATAATTGAGATAATATTAGTGTTGTAGGTACATAACTTATGTAAGTCAATATGCAAAAAAAAAAATTCAACTATAACTATTATGATTTTTTTTGAAAAAAATAAAAATTTGGAATTTTTTTTTTGGGACCGGGCCGGGTCACCGGTTTTTACGAAAACCGGCGGGGTCGGACCGGGTCACATTGGTTCTGATGCATGGCCGATCTGTTGCTTCAACCGGACCGGTTATATGACCAGTTTACCGGTTTCCAGGTCGTTCGGCCGGGTCGGTCCGGTTTTAATAACTATGACCCAAACCAAGTCAGACCTGACTTGGATCAAATTAAAGCGGATCGGGTCAAAATACCTGACCTATAAAAATCAAGTTAGGTCGATTTGGCCCAAAAATCTGACCCGACATAATCCATGCACACCCCTAATTATAGTTAATTTGTAACGTGGTTTTTTTTCTTTCAAAAAATAATTAAAAAACAATTTACTAGTAATATGAAGAGCCTAGAGACACTTGATCCCATTCCCTCTCAATATTATATTTCACTCTTAGATTGCCTTCTTGTCAACCTCGTCAAATTTTTATTCTTTCCATTAGCTTTATACACTTCAGGATAAAACTGACGTGATACATATAGTCATTGTGTCATGCCATAGAAATAATGATACGTATGGGTCCACATATTTTTTTTTTTTAAAAAAAAATAGCACAAAATTCGATGGATCAATAGGAGAAAGAAACTGTTGTTGCTTAGACGATGTAAATTCTTCAGCAAAAAAAGACTTTTTCTTTTTCGTTCTCTGTTATCTTTGTTTTGTTTTTGTTTTTGGCCCTATTCCTCAATTTATGCGAGAAGGGAACAAATCTTGTGACGAAGTTATTAATAAGATATTTTTAATTTCAATCAAACCTAAATAAAAACGAAGGAAAATAAAGATCATGTGTCTGTGGAGAAACACGATTTCTGATTGGAATTAACATATTAGAATTTGGAATTGTGAATTAGCAAGTCATTAGAAAAATCCAATACCATAATTTATAATAGTTGTCAAGATTGGATTTTGAACTTCAGATACGTCTTGATTAAGTCATGCTGTCGCCCGCAATACAGTGCACCTAATAGAATTGCTTATAATAATTTATGGCATGTAATGGAGGGTCCTAAATTACGAATGCTAATCATAATTAACTACCAATCTATCATTATGATTTGTGTTTGTCCTTGCAACGGATTCAGTGCCAGTGAAAAATCATTGATTAAAGTAATTAATAGCATGCAAAATAAAACCATGGTGGGTCCACGGGGAGGTGTTTGACCATACATCAATCTTGAACCAAATCAATTTGCAAATTACAACCCAAATAGGCTGTCTACCCACCAACTTCATCCCCCCTTCATCCCAGGCAATGGAAATGGTTAAATGTCCTTGTATGTATGTTCTGGTATGATTGGATGGCGCTCCACCCGCAAATACCATATTAATGCGGATTTTTACAGTTAATTATATTCTTTATTAGCTGGTTATTTGTGTCATATTAATATTATATTGTAGTTTAATTAATATTGTTAATTGGTGAGAGGCTTAATCTTTATTGCTTTTCCTTTATAGCTTAAATCTCTTAGTTGGTATGATTTTTCGGATGAATTGAATTTTGATATCGTATCAAATCCTCTAAAATCAACTGATCACATGTAACTAAAAAAAATAATACCCATTGTTGATGAGACAAACATCCTGTTTTATCAAGGCTTGGTGTGGGTCGAAAGTAAATCGAATCATGACACTTGGTCTAACAAGAGTAAGTAAAAGGAATTGTATCATAACTAACATTATTTGATTTAATAATAAGCGTTTGATCCAAGACTTGGTATCATAGCCAATGTCATGGATTCAATTTTTCGATATAACACTTTACAAAAAAACAAACGTTATGGGGGAATTGTTAATGAGCCCAAAATCCTACCTTGACAAGGTCTATTGTGCGTCGGAATAAAATTGAAATATGGTATTTAGACTAGGGATAATTGTTTGATTAAACATTATTGTTTAATAAAAAAAGAAAAAGAAAAAGCCAAATTAGTAAATAATTTATAAAGAAATCAGATAGACAGATCATTGCACCCACGAAAACAGAAAACCAAAGATAGACTTACACCAAAGTGTCCCTGACGGTAGACCGAGTTTGAACTGGAATAATGAGTTTGGGTTGGTTGTCTGTGCAAGAAGTGATCAAATATTTGGTAGCGTAGAAAGGAAAAAAACATTAAAGCAGTGACAAAAAAGCGGGGTCGCAAAAAACAACCCATAGCCATAGGGATGGGGCACCAACACGCTTGCCCCCAGTGGTCCAATCGTGGGTAATGCAGGGTAGATAGAGGTCCCCTGTCCCCACTAGTATGTAAAAAAGAGCTTCGTTGGGTCGCCTTCAATTGGGATCAATGAAAAAGACAAGGCCAAAAAAGTGCAAAAGTGATAAGAAAAAAAAGGGACAAAGTTAAGTTACACATATATAATTTGATGCTTCAGGTAATTGCCTTGTGGGCGAAGAATTGGATTGGGACTTAGGAGCTATGTTACATAATAGTTATTTAAATATCAACTCATAAACCATAGTCATTTATTCTATTCCATTGTGGAACGTTTTATTCAATAGTCATTTATTCTATTTCATTGTGGAACGTACGTTTAATTCAATTACCAATCCACTATTGTTACATGCACTGCTTCAAGCAAAGCCGGACTGGGAATTAATGAAAGGTGGTTAACCTCTTTCATTTGAAGGAGTTGAAATATATATTTTTTTTTTATTTTTTTAAATGATTTCAAGTTCCAATTTGGAATATAGTAGTTTCAAAATTTTGGTTGGGAGAATTTTGCCACTCTTATAGTCTTGCCGGCTCAAACTGAATTAATCGAGTAATTAATAAATTGATGGAGAAATTTAATTATTTTATATATTTGTTATAGGCTATGGTGTTGAGTAATAAAATATTTATTCTTTTTCTATAAATTTTATCATAGCCACTTTTAATACTATATAAATTTAAAACTTAAAAGACAAATTTATAATGTTCAAATATTTACATGTCTCGCGTAAGTGTGCATGACAATCATTCTATTCCCGAGCACTGTTTCTGAAAAGAAACAATTCTTTTATATTTCTGTGCCTTGGAACAGTTTCTGAGAAAAAAAATGTGTTTGATAACATGTTCCATTTTTATTCCGAGAATGAGAATTGTGTTTGATAACACAACAAATAATATAATAAAAAATAATTCCTATTAAATATAAAAAAATTTCGGATCAACTCTTTCCTTTCCATATGGTGTGGTTGTGGTGGTGGCGGCAGCGGCGGTACGGTAGTGGTTGCGGCAATGGTAGTGGTGGTTGGTGACAGTGGTGGTGATGGTAGTGGTGGCGTCGTGGTGGTGGTAGTGATAGCGATGAGGGTGGTGGCACTGGCGTGTGATGGCGATGGTGGCGGTGACGACAATGGTTGCGATGATGGTGGTGATAGTGGTGGTGGCGGTGGCGGCGATGGTAGTTGTGGTGGTGGTCGCATGGTGGTAGTGATAGGTGGAGGTGGTGGTAATGGTGGCGGTGACTTCGTGGTGGTGAGGGGTGGTGACGGCGGCACTAGTGGTGCGATGGTCGCGGCGACGATGGTGGCGACAGTCGTGTCAGGATGATGGTGGTGGTGGTGATGATGATAGAGGTGGAGAGTGATTGAGAAAGATAAGTGTTTTTCATTTTGAGCATGGGAACAAAAAAACAGAATTTTTTTTTTATTCTTTTGTCTGTTCCCCAGCACAAAAATTAAACCGATTCATCCTGGGAACAAAAAAATAAACCGATTTTACCAAACGAGTTTCCTATTCATTTCTGTTCCCGGAAACAGAAATTAAAAAAGAATTGATTTCGGGAAGATTGTCATGTACACCCTTAAGTTGATAGTAACAACAGCGAAGAAATAGAATGGAGAATAAAATTAAGAATATATAAAATTATATAAATAATATCACACACAGCCTATCAGTAATTCATAGCTTATTGTTATCAAAAAAAAAAAAATTCATAGCTTATTTAGTTTATCCTTTTCATTTTAAAGCATAATTTTTTTTTCTATCATGTAGTTTTCTTTTTATACCCCCAGTTTATATTATTAACCTTTTTACATAAATAAACTTAATGAAAATCAAAGGCAAACAAATTTACTCTTTTAAGATATTGTGAAAACAAATTTAATTTTCCCAGTTGTTTTTTTATGTATAAACTGAAAATATGTCTGTGAATTACGTAGTAATTTTTTCTTTTAATTAGTTTACTTAATAAAAACAAATGCAATTCTACAATCTTTGCGTCCATTATTTTTCTTTTATAAAACATCAAATAATTTTTGTCTTATAGTTTTTGGCTTAATTAAGAAATACATGAACAGATCAGTCAAATAGCAAATCCTAATTTAATTTTTCTTGCATATTAAAGTAAAATGTGGTCTAAAAGTTGCGCTTAGCCAGTTAGCCTAACAAGGAGAATAATTAGATAGCATCGTGAAGTGAAGTCGTCAATCTGTCAAGGAAAGTAGGAAACTATGGGTCCAAATTAATGTTTGAAATTTTGGTGAATGAAAACGCCAAAGTGAAATGCGGCCAGAGAGGCAGTGTGACAAATGACAACGTGATTACACCCTAAACCCAGCTGTTCTGACCCCACCACCTCCACATTTCTTCTCTTGCGCCTCTCGTTTTATCCATTCCCCCAATTATACATCACTTTCTTCTTCTTTTTACCGGAAAGTTGTACATCTAATCACAACTAATCCAAATACTCTATTATATTCTTCTTAAACGAAATTAAATTTATTTTTATTATTTAAAATTAGGAAAATATTAATTTCATGTTCTAGGAGACTAATATTCTATATCATAGACATAAAATATATGAGACTCATTTATTTATTTTTTATTTTAAAAAAATGAGTATATGTCTATTATTTCAGTTAAAACTAATTCTTTTCAATGAAATTTTTATTTTTATTTTAAAATTAAACAGTACGTGGGCAAATAAAATACTACCCCACATACATTGATGTAAAGTACATATAAATGTTTAAATGGAGCATCTTTTGCGTGTGTGATAATACAATAAAGTTTAATAAAATATTTGTTATACCAATAAATGAATTTGGATATAAAAATAATATATAAAAATAATTCAACAATATATTTAGAAATTAAATTAAACTCAAATCTAAAGCATCAACACTTGGCCTATCTGATTATACAAAACTTTGTTATATATAATTATTTTATATTTAACACGATAATTAGTGCATTTACGGTTTAGAATTAAAAAAAAAAAAACTTAGGAAAAATGGGGAAAAATAGAGTCATTTTTTTAAAAAAAAGAAAAAAAGTAGAGGCATTTTACAATTCCAAATTTTCCAGAGAAACATAAAGTGCACCTATATCTATCTATGGTGGCAATTAGTACCTAGTATAAATTCCGGATTGTCGTGTCGCATGTATCACACGGAAAAACGCAACCATGCATCCTCGTATTCGGATCGAGTCATTTTCCCGCGAAAACAGCCAAAAAAAAGAAAAGAAGATATGTTTTTTTTTAACCCTTAATTGACACCTATTGTAGTCCACAAAGGTTAAATGTTTCCGATTAAGCTGTGTCTCTCTGTGTCTCTCTGAGTCCGAGTCTGAGTCTCTCGTTCCCACCAAATCAATTTCAATGGATCCATGCCCCTTTGTGCGCCTCATGGTTGAATCTCTCGCTCTAAAGCTTCCATCGCCAACAAAACCCGCACCAGTTTCCGGTGTTCACCCATCAACCACTCCATGCTTCTGCAAAATTCGCATTAAGACTTTCCCTTCCCACACTGCACTCCTTCCTCTCTCTTCTTCCAACTCCAACTCTGCTCCCGATTCAACTACCTCCTCCCCCGCCTTCCACCTTGACTCCGCCGCTCTCCGCCGTCTCTCCGGCAAGCCACTCACTCTCACCGTCTCCGTGTACAACGGCCGCATGGGCCGCACCTGTGGGGTCCGCAGCGCCAAGCTTCTGGGCCGTGTTGTGGTCACCGTTGACTTGCTCACTGCGGTCTCTCGCTCCAACACGTTCCATAATGGGTGGCTCAAGCTTGGGAAGAACGATAAACCGGCCCAGCTTCACCTTCTGGTCCGGTCTGAACCCGATCCACGGTTCGTCTTTCAGTTCGGAGGCGAACCGGAGTGTAGCCCCGTGGTTTTCCAGATTCAGGGGAATATCAGCCAACCCGTTTTCAGCTGCAAATTCTGTGCTGATCGCAACTACAGATCCCGGTGAGTCTCTCTTGCTCTTTTGCAACCCTGTGCATTTTAGTTTTCAATCATTCTGTCTGCTAATGTGAGCCATGGGTGTACCGTAGTCAGTGTAGGTGAACCACTGAAGTAATGCATTAGCGCCATCTGTTCCATTTCTCTCATTTATTTTTTATTAAAAAAATTTCTGAAGAAAGATTTTACTTTTCTTTTTGGGAATTGATTCAGCAAAATTGAAAATGATTTAATAAAACTTTACATATATGTATCTTATGCTTAGAAAGGCAAATTTAGTACTGGAACTAAAATGGTGGGTTGATTATGGATTAAGGTAAGGTTTAGGATTTGTTGTTTCTTTATTTTTCTGTTGAAAGATACACGAAAATGGTGGTGGCACCACGAAATTTTCATTTTCATATGTCTTTTTCCATGGGCTGGATGAAAAACGCCTGCTTCATTATATTTGTCATTAAGCATTTTTTTAAAGTTTTTTTTAAAAAAGATAACGTACGATGTTTTAACCTTTTTTTGTAATTTTGGCCTTTTTATCGATTATTAACTTATGGATTACGAAAAAGACAATCTTAAATGAGACGATTTAGTGCAGACTAACTGCCTCCTCCATCTGAAACATTAATATCCCCTGATTTTAATTAAACTCTTCTACCCTTTCTTTTCTTAACTAATTAGTTGCTTAATTGGTTTTCTTCTAACTCAAGAATCCATTACTCAAATTTGATTTTGCAGCTTTTTTCTTTTGGCTTTCGCTAAAACTTCAGGTCCTTCACTTTTTTTTTTTTTTACCCTTCAAATGAAAGTCCACATCCTATGGCAATTGGACTACAAATAAATAATTCTGTTGAAGAGCTAATAAATTAATGAAGGGTCTTCCTTTAGCTGCATACCCATGTTCGGTCTAACAGACAAGTAGAGATTTTTCAAACTATGAAACATAAACTACCTGATAAGATTCCATCCCATGTGACATTATACGGCTGCACTCTTAGTATCTCTTAGAATTTGATAATCCTATTCCTATCACAGTTTGACAATTTCATTACTGCTCTGGTATGGCCCGATGAACTTGCCTAGCCAGTTCAAATAGCTGTCCAGAGATCACCATCACTTGGCACGCGGAGCATATGACTTCACTGTATATGTGTTCTTTTACATTTTCCGTGTGCACGCACGACCTTAACACGTTATGGGTCACGCAGCCTCACACCTAACCGGGTCTACATGGCTGGAAACTGTTATGGCATCACATTTTATATATTTGGAAGGAATCTCTAACCTCCTATATATAAAAGGACCTCAGCTTCCTCACTATTCATCTTTTTCACTCGCTTTCTATTATTGTTACTTTGTAAAACTTTCACCTCGACCATAGCCATAGCCCTTAAACACCCCCCTCTTAGCATCCTCAGCTAGACTAAGGCTAGTATGACGACACCTTGTAACTTTGGTCTATACCATTACCTCTTACGTCTCCTTAAAATCAACATAGTATACCTTTCTGGGAAACAGTTATATACCTTCACACTCTGATTCAGTTCAATTACGCTGCTACTTTTATTAATAAATGATCACGACTATTAGTTTATAATTAATTATATTATCATGTTCATGACATTTTCTTTTCCTTGTTGAAAATTCAGGTCTCTTCCATCAAGTTCTACAAACAATCCTAGTAGATGGAGAAGATCCTTCTCAGGTGACAGAGAACGTCAAGGCAGGGATAGAAAGGGTTGGATGATCATGATTCATGATCTCTCTGGCTCACCCGTTGCTGCAGCCTCCATGATAACTCCATTTGTTCCTTCCCCTGGTTCAGATCGCGTTTCCCGATCAAACCCTGGTGCCTGGCTCATTCTTCGCCCTAATGGAGCCTCCGTGAGTAGCTGGAAGCCATGGGGTCGTCTGGAGGCATGGCGAGAAAGAGGTCCTGTCGATGGCTTGGGCTACAAGGTTGAGCTTTTTTCTGACAATGGACCTGCCAACGTAATACCCATTGCTCAAGGCACAGTGAGTGTCAAAAAGGGTGGCCAGTTCTGCATTGATTACAAAGTGATGAAGGATTCTGGATTGGGTTCAAGATTACCAGGTGAAGGGTTTGTGATGGGTTCAACTTTGGACGGTGAAGGCAAAGTTAGTAAACCTGTTGTACAAGTTGGGGCACAGCATGTGACATGCATGAGTGATGCTGCTCTTTTCATTGCGCTCTCTGCTGCTATTGACCTTAGCATGGATGCTTGCATGCTTTTCTCGCATAAACTTAGAAAGGAGCTTTGCCATGATGAACAAGATTCCTTTTCATAACTTGCATGAAATCTATTTGATTAATTAATGTTCTTGCAAGTTACCATCTGCTCTGCAGTGACAGCCAATTTGTTCATACTCTCTAGCTGCAATCCAACATTTCAGTTCCTGATTCTTTCAACCCGGTTTTTGTCTCACCTATCTTGAACATTCTTTTTTGGCTTGTCGCCCTCATCTCGGAGTGCTTGAAGCTTTGGCGGTTTGGTTTTGTTAAGGTTGCTGGGCCTTGCTTGCTCTGGAATTTTATTCCTTCTAGTCTCATAGTGTTGTGAAAAGATATCACATACAGTTGCTAATTTTGATTACCTTCATGTGGGGTTTTGTCAACAGCTTACATTAGGGGAGCGATTTTACAGCTGAGCAAAATTGTCTGGTTTTTGGGTGTATAAATCTGAACAGAATATTTCATTGTACAAAAATATTAAATGCAAATAGTTTCGTGTCTTTTTTTATTCTAAATATTTAATAATTATATTTTTTATTTTGGACATCTTCCATTTTCTTCCAAATTTCCATCAAACCTCTATTATTAGTTGAGTTTAATTTTAGTCCACATCAATACAATTTTATTTATTTATTTAGCACTCAATAACTTGTAAATAATTATTTAGAGATTTTGTCTATCACAACAATTTTGTAATAGGTGAAACTAGAGGTGTTCATCAACCGATCCAAACCCATTCAAACCACGGTGACCGAACCGAAAAATCGATAACTGAATAAACTGAAAATCGAAAAACCGCAAATTTTAAAAAAAACCCCAAATTTTAATTGGATTGGTTCGGTTTTTGGATGGGTTGATGAAAACCGATCCAATCCAAACCGATCCAATATATTAATTCTCCTCTACCTACTTGGGTCTTTTCCTAATCATAGCCTAAAAATTTCTAAACCCAAGACCCATTAACCCATCAACTAAACCCAAGAAGTCACATCTCATCAATAAAATTTTATCTTTTTTTGTTTTCTCAAGGTATCCTCCGGCCGACAGCCGAAGACTAATGCTTTCGAGGAGGGAGATCACATTAAGTGGATAAACCTCTCCCAACAAAGTCTTCTCCATAGACACGGCCAAGAATCGAACCTCTGTCAGCATGCTTAAGGAACCCAGCTATCTACCAATTGTGCTGGGCTTTGTTGGTATAAAATTTTGTCTTTGTAGAGCTTCATATCTTATTGCAAAAAAAAAAAAAAAAAATTATAGTTTACTAATGCTTTTGTATTTCAAAATAAATAAATTTACAAAGCCAATATATACAAAAGATGTTATTTGCACGATAATCATGAAATAAATTTTAGGATTTTCAAAAAACCGAAAATCAGTCAAATCCAAACCGAAAAAAATGGATTGGATCGGATCGGATTTGAAAACAAAATCCAAATCAGATGGATGATTATATGATCAAATCGAAGGCATTGGATCGGATGATTTTTGCTTTCAAAACCGATCCAGTCCAGACCGCGAACACCCCTAAAACACCTTTTTATAATGTAATAACACATAAAATGATAGTTTAAAAAGGTTTATGTCAAAACTAACTAAAATTAAATCCTTAGTAATTTAGCTCAGATTCTGTAAAAGGGGAAGCTTCAAAATTCTTCCAAAATGTGTTTTGATCGCTTTTGTAAAGGGATAAATAATTTACAAAAAAAAAAAAGGGGATAAATGATAATATTGTTGTAAATGCCTCCATTCAATTTTTACAGCTTATAATATAAATCATTTCAGTAAAAGGAACTAATATACTATATCTATATTTGAAATTTCATTATTTGTAATCATGTTTAATGCTTATGGAGAGGGCAATTAATGAAAAATAATAATAACAATTGTTCATTTTCTATGAAGAAAAAACAATTATTCCGTTAAAAATCTATATTTAATTTTATAATTAAATAATCAATATAACACATAAATAATTGCTTTGGACCAAATGATGCTAGCTTAATTGGCGCATGAGAGCTGAGCAGGTGAGATGAAAGCATGTATTCGATCCTCCTCAATATCATCTTTACGAGAAATTCAAAACATTAATAATGGATCCACCCGGAACAGGATTGCCACCCGTGAAAGATACATGTGATTCAAAACATATATTATGCAGGGTTTGTTTAAAATCTCTTTTTATTTCTTTTAATATTTGGCCATAAACGTTATCATGCAATTGTGCAGTAAAAATCCTCTATTCCCAATGTCAACTTGTTTTTGGGCTGAAAACAATTGGACTCAAGTCTGAAGATGATTTGAGGTTAGACCGGTATCATTGGACCTTGTCTTGTTGCTATCTTTTTGAAAAGAACAGCTTGGGTTTTCAATTATTGCGCCCAATCCTAATTTATTAATGTTTTATACTTAAATTAAACTGAAAATTTTGTGTGTTCGGTATATACATTATTTTTCTCATTTACCATTCAAAAAAAGTTTATTTATAAAGTTAATGGTCGAACCAATAAATTTATGAATCATGACTCCAAAGTTTAGCCAAATTAATTTTTAGTTCAATTTTTAAAAAATTTATATAAACAAGGCAAAGTTAGATGTGGCTATACCTTTATCGTCCACTAAGATTGGTCCAGAGAATTTTATTTTAGGAAATATCACTGTCTCATCCTCATGATCTCGTCCAGTTAATTAATTACCTATAATGGCAGTAAGAGGATGCTCTAAAAATAGTATTTCTTTTTTGTCGTGTCTTGGAATCCTTCAATGTTGTTGCCTTCACCATTAATTAGCTCGAGCACTAATTTCTTATACTTAGCAAATTGTGACTGTCGTTTATGCAATTACAACAAAACATCCTAACTTAATCAATAGTACTAGAACTAATCACGCATTTAAGATATTCCTTTTGACTGCGGGAGATCGGTTTCTATAGTTATTGCATTTAAATTGTAGGTAGCTAAGTTTTTGTAAAATATGACTCTGGTTTTGTAGATTGATTTCATTGTCAAAGAATGGCCGAAATTATAATAAAGCACAGAAACGGGAGTTTATCAAATATAAATGATTCTCACATATATGGAATTTTGGTTGACTAGTTGCGAGTTAAGTTGATATTATTAGGTAATTCATGACAAAATGACACATATCCTTTCATTACCAAAATGTGTGAAAAACGCGAGGGTCTACAGTGAAAACCATTACAAATACTCAAATAATTTCTGTGATAGTTTAGATCATTTATTGATTCAATACATTTTTTTTTAAAAAAAAATGACTAAAGAGGTTCAAAAACTGTCAAATACCGGGTCAACTTCAGTAGAAGAAGGAAAAAAAACAAAATTTGCTTTTGTTGAATATTTTTTCTTTTATATATATACCAATCGGCATTCAAAGTCTTAATGAATCAGATTAATTTGATTTTGGATTTGTGTTTCTCTACTCTTTTTAGGAATTATGACTCTCAAAATTCAAATCACTATCATTTGAGCAGGTCAAATCCTAAAATTTAGGTAGATCACCACTGGAGCAACAACCCTTATGTTGATATTCTCTTTTGTTGAATAGTTTCCTTATGCGAGAGCACTTGCTTATGTGATCCATGTTAGAGATAAAAAAAAAAAAAAAACAAGAAGAAGCCTAAGCTATTAGGTTATCTGAATCAATGATACTTCTTTTGAAGTGTAATCCTATTCTTATTTTTCTCTACATCAATTACAGACTTACAGTCTAACAGCTATTAATTATATTGAAATATTTCCTAGGCAGAGTGCATAACCAATTCTCAATAATAATATAACCCCATTTATATGATTAAATTGGCATTTTGGCAGGCCAACTACTCGCAATTTGGGTAACCTTATGATGCGAGGGAATGAAGCTGACGGCACAATCTAAAGAACTCGTGATACTTGTACACATTAAAGTGACCAAAACAAACAAGCATGCCACGAGACAGAGAAATTATGTTGCTCGTTAACACCATCATAGACTTAATTTTTTATGCTGTTCCATGAGGATATTAAAAAGTTTCGGAAATCTGTTTGCCCACAAAATCAAGGCATATCTTATCCGTGTGGGCCAAGAATAATTTTCTAATATATTTTCAGAATCCACAAGAACAAAATTAGCATGGCCTGAATTAAATTGGTAGCATTTCATTAATTAGTGGAAAAACCATGACCAACCTGTTACTATACGGTTGCTATCAGGGAGATGATGATCGGTGATTTGGGTGTTCAGAGGCACTTGCAGCAGCCAGTGCACTACAAATAAGAGGTTTTGGAGTAGGGATTCTTAGACAATTGAGGCTACCACCTGGGATTATAGAGCATTCTGGTGGAGGTCTTTGCATGTCTCTTCCAGGAATGCAATTATCTGAGAAATCAAAGCCCACATTGAAAAGCCTTGAGCATTCTTGGCTGAACCCAGAAAAGAAATTGTAAGCAACAGTTAAATTTACTAGGCTTCTCAAAGAGCATATCACATCAGATAATTCTCCTGAAAGCTTGTTATGTGCCAAATTGAGAACCTCTATATCTTGCAAGCAAGATATTGTGTCTGGCAAATGACCCATGAGTGAATTGAAGCTCACATCCAAAACTTGCATCTCCGTTAAGATCCCCACCCCTTCAGGAATGCAACCTGTTAACTGGTTATTGAGGAAGAGAATCTCCTTTAGTTTAGAACTCATGAAGCCAAAACTTGCTGGGATGTTTCCACTGAACTTGTTGTTGGCTAAATTTATCACTGATGCTGGGGAATTACCCAAGTTCTGTGGAATTTCACCTCCAAATTGATTGTTGTTGAGAAATATAGCATCCAGTTTCTTATTGAAAAGTTGTTCAGGAAGTGCCCCAGAGAAGTAGTTGAATCTGAGGTCCAAGTAGATGAGGCTTGGCATGTTTAAAATAACAGTGGGGAAAGGACCTGAAAGTTGGTTGTTACTGAGGTCTAACTCTTCCAGAGAGGTGAGGTCTTTGAATGTATCAGGAACTGTACCAGTAAATCTATTACTGTTGAGGTGGAGAAGAGTAATATCAGCAAGCAAAGAGAGCTCTTTGACAAGAGTTCCTTGGAGATTTGCATGGTTGAGATCTATTCCTGCAACAACAACAGGGCCAGTTGCAGTTGACACTGCAATTCCATTTGCATCCTCAGGATTTGCACAAAACACCCCTTTATAAGAACAAACATTAGAACCAACCCAGCTATCTAGAATCTTCAATGGGTCGTCAGTAATTGCAGATTTCCACGCCTGAAGAGCTTTGTAAGCACCATCCAGCTTTGGCACTGAAGATCCCGAGGGCCCTGGGCTGTTAGCCCCACCATTGCCAATACCAACACCAACACCAACACCAACACCAACACCACCTATGCCACCGACACCAATGGCAGCTTTTGCTGCATTTAGATGGAGAAGGATGAGAAAAGTCCGAATCCAACCCTTGTCCATCTTGAACTGAAGATACAAGGATGCTTATTTGATTGTATATGGCTTTAAGGTTGTCCAAATAAGATTGCTGCTACATTAAGAGAGGAAGTGGTAGACAAATAGTTATAACTGGTCTTCAATGTGCCATAGTTTCATTCGTCATTTTCTTTTTAGTTTGTGTATTGCTTTGGTTTGAGCTACAGCTTTGTACAACTTTTTCAGTACAGGACTTGTTGACCTCTGTTGGATTCAACTTTGGGATATCCTTTATAACACAAAAATAAAAATAAAAATTCCATTTGCTCGGGTCATGGAGAAGTATTCCAATATTATCGGAATTTAATTATTAATAATTTATTTACAACTAATTAAATATTTAAAATATATTTTATTAATTTATTATAAACAATTTATTAACTAAAATAATTTATAATTAATTAATTAATATATACAATAAAATACGGTGCCGTAATATGCCGTTTGATATATTTTGAAATGTTTTTGAATCGTATGGGTTTCTCGTTTCTGCTGTCACTGCAGATGAGAAAAATTACAGCAAACTTTTAACACTAGGATACAGAGCCATATCCTGGAATAAAAAAAAACATATCACGATACGGAACTGTATTCTGATGAAAATAAATGTTGCTGTACATTTTCTTATCTGCAGCGACATGAGAGCTAGAGCTATTAAAGCCTATTACATAATATGATTCTAATTATATAATTAGGTTTTAATAGCTCTCGTGTTGCTGCAGATCAAAAAATTTGCAGCAACACTTACTTCCACCAGGATCTGGTTTCGGATCTTGGAATTTTTTATTTTTTTTTAAATTTCAAGATCCGACTCCATATCTTAAGTAAATATAAATATATTTGCTGTAAGTTTTTTCATCAGCAATGAAAGCAGAGACAAGAAACCCATATAATTATTAGTAATTAATGTTGGAGGTAAGTATCCACGGTCTAAAGACACAAAGAGCATAAGTTTTCATGGACAACTTTTAAAATAATGTACCCATTACCCTGGTCAGTTCATGAAAGTTAGGTGAAAAAGATTTCGGTTTAATTTTCATCAATATTATTTTAGGGTTTTATAAAAAATATATTGTAGGAAAAGTGATTCTGTTATGTTATAGAGATTCATTTTGCATGCCGTAATTTTTTTTTTATATCCAAAAAATACGGGCCCCACAAAATATTGTGTGTATAGAAAAAATTTTCTTGTCATGTTAAACGATGAACGCAAATTCCATTGTTTTAAGGGGATGTAAAATCTTAATTTTTGACATGTCTTATACTCGGAATTAGTTTTATAATCGATTTAAAGAATCAAAACTTATGAAAATATCATAAGCTTACTTCAAAAAGATAATTATGATTTATATAAAAAAAAAATTAACATGATTTTGCATAAATAAAAAAAGGAGTTTAATTATATATTTTTTAAAAGAAAAATTGGCGTGTATATATAGTTACTCACAAAATGATGAAAAGTTGGTTTGCTGCAGAAATAACCATCACTGTTTCATTTAAAGTTACTGCCAAGCTTTCCACTTTAATTAAAGATAGTTAAATAAAGATTAAGAGAGTTGGTAAATATCTACAGCAGAGAGAAATAAAAAAAGTATAACGGTTGTGTTAGTTGAAAAAATATGTATTATTTTAAAAAATGTAAAATTGTGTCATTTTAAATGAGAAAAAGAGATAGAGTATGAGAGAGAGTGGACAAAAAAATAAAAATATGATCTCATCTCTTTGTAAAAATAAAATGACATAAGTTGTATCATTTAAAAGGATAAATATTTTTCCTTTAGAATAAACCCGATTAGTCTTTTAAAAATATTTTTATTATTAAATTAACTCCTCAAAAATTAAAGTATTGTTCCATGGGTTTTCTAAAATAAAATTATACTAAACTAGTCTCTTAAAGATAAAATTTTTGTTTATCATATTTAATCTGTTTCTTTAGACATAGTTAAACTCGAAAGAGACGCGTAGATTAGAAGTACGTGGGCTTTTTTACCTTTATAACCTTTTATTAATAATTAATTACCAAATTGACCTTCATTATAAACTATTTCAAAAATTTAACCTCCCCAACAAACATAACACCAATCTGCCCCTGTTTGACCGTTGACCACCAAGTCTACCCGGGTACTCCCCTCCCTACCCGGGTATTTTTTGAAATTTTTGCCTACCCGGGTAGGGAGGGGTGTACCCGGGTAGAGTTCTTCAATCTGGAAAAATAGTTGAATTATTTACCCGGGTACATAGGGGTGTACCCGGGTAAATCTCCACCAGAAACCCCAAAACCCCTCCTAGATCTCTGCAGCAGCCAACAGACATACAATTTACAAAATCGGTTTCTCCTCCTTATCTTCATCTTATGTTAATTTTTTTATCCCATCTTCCCACGGTATTGTCACCTACCATTTGCTATGGTTTTTTCAAATCTTGGGTTGGTTGAAAGTTCTAAACTTTTTTTTGATTTCTTTGCAAGTTTGGTTTTGAATGAATGCTTCTGAGAAAAGGGTACCTTTCAACTTTACTGCTCTTGTACTTGTTCCTCATACAATTTTTTCCTAATCTAGTTTGTTGCAGTTTTTGAACAGGTATCGCTTCTTGTCATTGGATGTGTGAATTTCTGAACCTATTTGACAGAGGCCATGCATTATTCTGCCTCCTCCTGCTTCATTTTGCATCCAAGGCCTGGTGTCAGTTTCCGAGTTCTGTTAGAATTCCTGGTGATGACTGTTAATGTAAGTAAACTTACAAGTGCTATAGGAGTTGTTATGTAGCAGTCTCTTGAGTTCAATGGGATTTCATTTTAGTCTCTTGAGTTTTATTTCATTTTAGGGTTTTTGACAGAGATTTACCCGGGTACACCCCTCCCTACCCGGGTAAATAATTCAAACATTTTCCCAGATTGAAGAACTCTACCCGGGTACACCCCTCCCTACCCGGGTAGACAAAAAATTTCAAAAAATACCCGGGTAGGGAGGGGTGTACCCGGGTAGGCTTGGTGGTCAACGGTCAAACAGGGGCAGATCAGTGTTATGTTTGTTGAGGAGGTTAAATTTTTAAAATAGTTTATAATGAGGGTCAATTTGGTAATTAATTATTAATAAAAAGTTATAAGGGTCAAAAAGCCGAAGTACGTGGAGTGCAGCTTTTTATTTGTAGGACACAATAATAGTTGTGTACGAGCCTGTAGCTTAATTAACACCCTTGGGAGGTAGAATCCTTCAAATATCCACCAAGCAATAAACACAAACATTTGTATATGTGGCTGCGGGGCTGGTAGAGGGAGTTCATGTTGTGGTAAATGGTTGCCAGATGGTAGCTATTATAATTACTAGCCAACGGTCGTGAAAAGTTGTCTCTTAATTTCTAGCTTTTAATACCAACGCTAAAGTAGTCTTCTCGAAAAATAATAATTAAAAAAATAAAGCCCGTTTAAAATGTAGGAGTGTGCTATTTTCAAATAATTTAGTGTTTGAAGCAATTTTATTGAATTCTATATTGAGCTGCAATATCTACAGTTAAACAAAAATTAGTGGAATGTAGTGTTCGATTCCTTTACCTAAATAATGGGAGAATGGTCCAGAAATCAATCATTAGGCAGAATGAGCTTGGTGTGAAAACGATAGCGAAAAAGAGGGCACGCCATTTTGACTACTAATGGAAAGCAGCTAGTCATAAACCAATGTCCCACTCAACAAAAGAAAATGAAGAAAAGAAAACCAACGAAAGGTGATCGAAATAGAGAAAGATTCCTCTTTTCAATTCTTCATCTACTACATAAAGTGAAGTTCCAGTTAAGTAGTTGCATTTTCAAAGCGTAGTCACCAAACTAATAACACATTTATAATGGTGTTGCCACCCACCAACCCACCCCGCAAAAACCGGCTCGTAGATAGGACGAGTCTAAATGAATGTTCTTAAATTAGGCATTCATCCATTAAACCATTCTAAACCGGTAACATAAGATTATTAGGCCCTCTATCTATGAACTTTCTGCTTTGGACATCCTCACGTTCTCTGTTTCTGCCTTTAAGCTCTTATCTACAACCAAAAACACACTTCCATGTGCTATCAAATAGGATTAAGACTGGTGTGGTCACCTTCTGTAATAATTGTAACATTAGGTCCCATCTTTGATCCTTGCGAAGGATTTCTTGGGTTAGTTGCTGCATAAATGGTGGCTTTGCTTGACCTTTACGTCTAGTCCTTTCTCTTTATTTCATAAAGCATATCAATCATTGTCGGATTAGGAGGATTAAGAATATGGTACACAAATATCTCTAACCTTTTGTTTGGACGAGAAAAAATAAAATAAGTAATAACTGTTTCAGAAGTATAAATTCATTAATAATTTTACATAATAGTTTACGCTTTTGGATTGAAATTGTTATCTATTACATGGTATTAGAGACTCGTGTCTCGGATTCGATTCTCACCGTCTCCCATTTTTTAGTAAAATAGTAAAACAAAAAATTAGGTCTATGCAATATCCACGCTTCAAGCCGAAAGGCTATTGCGTGAAGGGATGTGTTAAAGCATAATATAAACCATTAAAAAGACTCACACTCGATCGATCGCTTAAACTTTTAAATTAAACTAATTCTTTACATAGTAACAGAGTCTCAGTATCACGAGTTCGATCATCACTGTCTCCCATGTAATGTGGAATTTTCAACATAGATAAGTGGACTTGCGCATTGTCCACTCTCTCGTGTGAAGGGCGTGTTAGAGAATAATATAAACTATTAATGCAACCTCGCCTATTAGTTTAAACTTTTGGATTGAATTGGTTCTTTATATTGTATTAGAGCTTCGGTGTCACGAGTTCAATCCTCACCGCCCTTATTTAATTAATAATTAATTAAGTCTTGTGAAGTTTCTTAGCACAAGTAAGTGGATCTATACATTATCCACTCCTCAAGTCCAGTTGGCTGTTGTATGAGAAGACGTGTTAGAGAAATATAAAATTATTAATGTAACCTCATCTAATAACT